GCTGCACAGACGCTGTATCATCTACGCTGATACAAATACCCTCGAAAGACCAGCGCTAAAGGATTAAAAAAAACAGTTATTTAAATCTACTTATTAACTTCGTGTAAATTTAGTCTCTGTGCCTATGACACGAAGAGCCGGCTTGAAGTAAACCTGAACCTTTAATGGAAATGTGACATTTTAGGCAGTAGATCAGGATGCAATATTGGAAGTTCTCAATACGGACACTGTTTATATGCCCAGGTCAGGTCACTACCCTTTTTTCCTTCCGGAGTTGATAAACGAGTGCCATTCTGGAGGAGGAGACTACACATGAGACTATGCTGTATTTGCCATATAGCTGTCATCGACTTCGCCTTTAAATAAGTCACTCCTTTCTCTTCGCATGAAAATGAATATCATCGCTCCACCATTAACTCGATGAAAGCACCGACGCTAAAATGACCCAGTCACGAAACTGTAGGAAGACCAACACTCCAACGCTTACTGACTTTGCTTCCTTTCCTTTTTGTTTACAAAGTCAATCGCACGCCACAATGGATCGAACCGAATGACAAAAGGTAAACTGAACAGATGAAATTGTCGGACCTTAGAATCAAGTCCGCACAACTGACCGACTAGACGATGACCAGGACTATTTGAAGATCTTCTTGAACCTGCTGTCCCCCCAGCTCGGAAACACGTGAACCGTCAAAATGGATCATTCTTAAGCTACTATACTGAATTTACAAGAGCACCAATGTGTTCCAAGGATGACATTCACAAGGCTATTTATATAAGTTGGCTTTTTCAAGGAATAAGATGAAGCAGCATATCGAAGCACGAAATGCGTATCCTGGACCTGCAGGTTGTAAAAGGGCTTAGTGTATGCAATTTTTACAACGGTCACACATGTGTCACCAAAGTGAACGGAGTAGGCCATGAAGGAAGAAGGCCATGCTTCAAAATTAGACCGGCGACAGCAGCAGTTTTTCACAAACAAAACCGGTTGATGATGGACGAAAGGGTGAGAATCTGATGAAAATGACCATAAACCTGACGGAGAAAATTGGTGGCATTGAAACTGCGGAACATACCTCATTTGACCAGGTTCACCGATTTTATTACACGAAAGCGGTGGCTAATTAGAGATTGTTGAAAATTGCTTTCAACTCAGTTCGATGAACGTTGTTTAGAGTACGCGGGTATATCTCAGACCGCTTCATATGATTTATGTCTTATAATTACAGGAATATGCC